CTCATAGATGTGACNTGCTGTTTAAAAATGGGAGGTACGACCAATAGGTAATAACTCATGGATGTGACTATGAGAGTTTTTTGTTGTAAAATATTCGATTTGAATCATAACTACTAATCCAAAAGAGTAGTTTGTCACCACAGTACCACCAAAGCCAAACAGTAAATCGCATTACTATCGTNGATTATGAACAAGAACTCTTTCGTGGTACATGGCAAGTGTTGGAAGCAACTAATAATAACCACAATGATTGGTCCAATTATCACCCATATCAGATGGCCAGCACACCATTATTGTTCTGATCTTCACGTGGAAGAATACTCAATTAAACTTAAAGAGGTAGGTTAAACGATAATAGAGACGGATTGCCAACGCAGATGCCTTAAATTTGAATTTTAGCAATTTTTTTGATAGTCAGACCATGAGAAACTTATCTCTCATGAATACTCTAATTCTGACGTGAATGATTTATTTTTGACCGAACCAAAAAAATGATTAGTAAAAATACGCGTAAGTTGACCTAAATATCCCTGACCGTTGACCTCGCACCCTTGTCACAAGTCTCGTTCAAGTTATTTTGTAATTGTTTTTACATGAATCTAATAAAATTCGTTCTAGATAGATGTATCACTTGCAAGTCGTGAGGATCTTATAAAATCTATCTAGTTGTAGCACTAGATTAAAGGGAGGTGGATTGATTAATTTGAAGGCCACTTGCTGATTTATTTAAGAATAATTAATATATATTACAGATAATTATTTGACAAATAATAATGACAATTAAATGATGGGAATATATCAAATTAATAATTCTGCATTAATACTGTTATGACTAATTAAGTAGAATTCCCTTAGAAGCTCAGACAGAGTGTTGGGAATCAAGCCACGTGGTTGGTCTGGCACTATTTAAATCATAAACACGTTATAATGTTAGGACTTTGCAATAATTATTTTGTTATTAATTCATAATAATTGTACAAACCCATATAGAGCAAAGAAAAGTGAACAAGGGGTTCCACCCATATTATGAATGCAATGTAATGTTTTTTTATTTTTTTTTTGTTGTTTAAAAATGGGAGGTACGACCAATAGGTAATAACTCATAGATGTGACTATGAGAGTTTTTTGTTATAGAATATTCGATTTGAATCATAGCTACTAATCCAAAAGGGTAGTTTGTCACCACAGTACCACCAAAGCCAAACAGTAAATCGCATTACTATCGTNTAAAATATTCGATTTGAATCATAACTACTAATCCAAAAGAGTAGTTTGTCACCACAGTACCACCAAAGCCAAACAGTAAATCGCATTACTATCGTGAATCGATCCTTGCTTAATCACATGAAAGTAAAAAATGACCCTAAACGAATACGGCTTATTACTACACCACCAGCTCGGATAGTATGCAATGTAATGTAATAAAATGAACGACGATGTTATACACATCACATTTGTGCACTACCTCAATATGAACCATTAGATTAATGAATTTCATTAAATTCATTAAATATTTAAAAGTAGATACGATGATACATTAGGTAGTGTCGACTAGGTGATGCACATGAAGGGTAATGATAGCTTTGTGAGCTTTTATAGAGGTGCATTTTATGTAGCATATGAGTGTTGTCTAAAGACTATATATTTCAACGTTGTGACAAAAAGTTTCGAAATACACTTGTTGTTTCGACTTCATTCTTACATTTGTCAATATTCATCGGCAATGCTTTGACAACTTGACTATATGAATGCGGTTACGTGACTTTCCACAGATTTTTTTTTTGTTTTACAACTATGTAGGGCTTATTTCGTCATTTTGATTCATTTTAATCAAAAATCTAAAAAGTATTGCGTTGATCGTTAACGATCCAACTCAACCCTTTTCATTTATCCGCATTTGAATCCATCCCTCTTGCTCTTTTTTATCTTTCCTTGTCTATCAGACCCAGCACCAAAGCACATACATGCATGTTGATTAGTTGGTGTGATCATTCATAATAATTTTTCTTAAGGTAGTGCTTTGTCACCACCGGCACCACCGCCCTTGGCCTTTCTTGATTGCTTCACCTTCAATGTATCTTATTATATAACTTGAATTCCACACGAGCTTCACTGTCTGTCTTGGTGTACAAAGATTGAGTTGCAATGGTTTATCCCAACAGGACAAGGCAACNAATTCCACACGAGCTTCACTGTCTGTCTTGGTGTACAAAGATTGAGTTGCAATGGTTTATCCCAACAGGACAAGGCAACCACTTTTTAGCTGGACACAAATACATTGGGATCGTTATCCTCTTATATCTAACACCAACTACCAAGTTAAAGTGCCAACCAGTTGAAAATCACATACTTAAATGTGTCCTTCCTTATATGAATATTTTAAAAGATAAACAACAAAACCGTCACTCACATCTTATAATATCATAAGTCTCGTATTGTATTATAGGAAATTTCTACGGTATTATCGACGATATCGATACCAAAAATTATAACTTTTTAAGGTAAAGTTATAATNAATATCAGAAGTCTCGTATTGTATTATAGGAAATTTCTATGGTATTATCGACGATATCGATACCAAAAATTATAACTTTTTAAGGTAAAGTTATAACTTTTTTAAGGTATAAGTTACAACTTCAAGAACATGATCAATCATGAATTGTTAGGATTGATACCGCGTTTTTCATGATCGATCATAATTGTCTGTGATCGATCATGACCTCTTTTAAATAGATATAACTTCTTATTTTAAAGTTATAATTTTATCATCCAAAGTGTATAGATGTCATATGGTGGAGAGAACAGAGTATTGAGCATGTCTCTTTTTTAACTTGCAAAAAGAGTGGGACTAGTAATTTATTTAGTTGTTCTAAGCAAGTTATAAAAGCACATCACGAACTAGTCCACGACCAACAAATTTTTTGAAATTGAACTAAATGAAACTGTTATTTTCCAAAAGTTTTATTGAAAATAAAAAAAAAAAGGGTTTATTTTTCCATGTAATTCATCGATCAAACAAACGATTATGTTTTCAAAGTAATAGAAGAATCTTTTTTCTAGTTAGACTTGTACCAATGCGATAAAAAAACCATCCCACATTCTTTACATCAAATTGTTTTGTTTCAAAAGTTATATGAATATTCATTTTTAGTGGGCATCATCTAATTAGCAACTCCAGCTTAAATTCGTGATGGATAATTTACTATTGAAAAATTATGCATCAAAGATTGAAATCATTTGTTTAGAATCCGAACATGAGAGAGTATCTTCTTCAATTATGCTCGATGGATTTGGACCATTGAATGACCAATCGACATCAAACCTACATATATATAGAGACATACAATTTTGCCATAAGTGAGAGAGAGAGAGAGAGAGAAGTAGACATTTATAAGATGGTCCCCATAGGTAGCTGAAACTAAGCTTTGGGTTGTCACCTTCACTAAACAGCTATGGGCTGGATGATATGTGGATGTACTGATGTGCCCTCTTTTGGGCTTTCAGGCCATCCTTAAGGCCCAATCCCTATCTTCCGCCTAATCAGGAGATAAGGTTTATACTTAATCAGACACCATAGTCTAGCCAAATTGGCCACTCTTGGAGCAATACTGTAAAAACTTAATTCAATATATTCGTTCAATGTAAATGAATAATAATTCATTTTCAATCTAATTGCTACATTAAATTAGACCCAACAGCATTTTTTGGCTTAATACTCCCAACAAGAAGGTCTAGTTTTGTCCATGACAGACATTGATCTTTCAATTCCCTTTGGTGGCTTTTGTCTGCTCTTTTCTTTTAAAAGTTTTTTTTTTTTTGGCTTCATTAAAATGAGGGTGGGTCTCAGCCCAGAGCTTGGACTCTCTCTTGTGATTTATGTGTCATGTGCTTGACTTGAGTAAATAACCTTTCTGTATTTAAAATTAGGCTATGAATATCTCATTACTAGAGTTAACCCGTGCATGAAATACCGTAAATGATTTTGAGATAGATGTTAGTGGTCATTAGATGAGTCTATTTGAAATCGTCAGATAAATTTATTAAAGTCTGTCATATTTTATTTTATAAAATTACCTATTCATGTTATAGCGGGAGCTTTTTTCTTTGTAATAGTAATGTATTGTAAATATTCAACCTTTCTCGATGTATGAAATATGAAACATGAGTTTAACTTATTTATATATTTTTTTATGGGTGATTGCATAATTCTAAGATTTACATTACGAGCAATTCACGTGATTGTGGCTATTTCTCAAAACAAAATAAAGAAAATTAATTTTTTTTGATTAGGAGATTTTTTTTTTTTATTTCATTTTCTTTGCCATAAACCAACAACCATACCACTTACACACACAAATGATAATAGACTTGTTTGAAATTTGTTTAAAATCTCATCTTTTTATGATTTTAGGAAAAAAAAAATATCGTATGTTTGGACTCAAGTTTATTGAGCTATTTCCCATCAGTTCTTTGGACAAAACTTATTTTTATTCACACCAAAAAAAACTGAAAAATAGATCTTATCCAAAAAATTTTAAAGAAAAATTTATTTTTTTGAAAACATTTCAAATAATTTTAAGATTTTTTTTAATTCTAATTTTTTTATTTTACTTTTTAAACTCCTATTTCGCATCCAAAAAAATCAATTCAAACAGGCCCAGTAATGTAGGATCGAATAATAATTTTCAATCTCATATAAAAAAAATATAAATATAAATTTTCGATTGATTTATTTATGGTCATAGTCAGAAATGATAAAAAAAAATAAAAAAAAAAGATTAAAGTCAAATACACCAAATGACACTTGGCTCAAGAAAAACAAAAAAAAACAAACACACACTCACTCATTAGCAAAAGGTCCAAAACCCTGCTCCCACGTAGAACCCACCACACGACAGCATCGGTACGACACCGTCCCCCCCCCGGGCCTTTAATTTGCATAGGGCTTCGTTACCGTCTCTTACCTCTTTCCCTCTCTAAACCTTCATCGGATCTGATTTCCCAAAGCTAGAAACCAAAACCCCACCTAGTTTCACGATCTATATTGTCTGATCTTCTCTTCCCGTAATTCACACTTCGAACTGCGTATGATTATGAATGCATTGTTGTACATATAAATTTTGAGAGAGAAAACGACTAGCGATCGATTGGAGTCGTCGGTAGTTCGTGGCATTTTCATTGTTTCAGATGGGAATGCCCGAACGATGAGCAAAGCCGGCGACGAAGAGGACGAAGACGAGTGTTTCTACGAGTCTCTAGATCGATTACAATCCTCCACTACAACTTCTTGCTCTTCCTCTTCTTCTTCAGACGACGACGACGTTGAAGATAAAGATCCGAATTGGCTTTCAGGTTCGCACAATTATGCTAACTCGGAGCATCAATCATTGCTCAAAATCCCCAAATTCCCAATGGCCGTGTCCAACAACTACGATGTCTGGATCTCCGAACCCTCGCTCTCAGTCGAACAACGCCGCATGCGACTCCTTTGCCAGATGGGACTCAGCCGTGATTTCGCTCTTTCCCGCCAAAAACCTTCTCTCTCCGACGCCAGTGGTGATGAGAAGTTACGCGGCGGAGAGTTTGGCAGATCGGTTTCGTCGGAACATTTGAATCCTAGTCATGGAAATGGCCATGTTTTATCATCTAATACGCACAGTTCAATCCCATGTATTGTTCGGTCGAAGTCGGATGGTGCCACGGGTCATAATCAGGGTAATTTTAATTCATTGTCCGCTAATTCCTCTGAAATTCTTTCCATTAATTCGACTTCGTCCTCACAACCGGTCAATGAGACCAGTAACGATGCAGTTTTTGTAAATAATATGAATCGAGGCCATAATCATAATGCTGTTCTTGTTAAATCGCGAAGTGGCAGTGGATCGCCAAGTAGTAACTCCGTTTCTTCGCCAAATAAACCGCCCATGGGGAAAATTAGTAAGCAGATTGACGTGATTAAAACTGATTCCACACGCATGAATCCAAGCGGGAATTGTGATTCCGTGGCTGTTCCGGGGAATGGGGAGAAAGAGGAGGGTTTGGAGTGTAATGAGAATGTTCAGGTTGATGATCAGGTGTGTTTAATTAAGAATCTTGATAATGGAAAGGAGTTTGTGGTGAATGAGGTTAGAGAGGATGGGATGTGGGACAACCTTAAGGAAGTGAGTACTGGGAGGCAGTTGACTATGGAGGAGTTTGAGGTATGTGTTGGGCATTCTCCAATTGTTCAAGAGTTGATGAGGAGGCAGAATGTGGAGGATGGAAATAAGGATAATATGGATTCAGCTGCTAATTGGAGTGGGGGGAGTGGATCGAAGTCCAAGAAGAAAGGGAATTGGTTGAAGAGTATAAGGAGTGTGGCTAGTTCAGTCACGGGTCACAAAGAGAGGCGGAGCAGTGATGAGAGAGATACCTCATCAGACAAGGGTGGGAGGAGGTCGAGTTCTGCTACGGATGATAGCCAGGATTTTTCATTTCATGTTCCGGAAAGAATTCGTGTGCGACAATATGGCAAGTCCTTTAAAGAGCTCTCGGCACTTTACAAGAGCCAAGAGATACAGGCACACAACGGTTCAATTTGTACTATTAAGTTCAGCTTGGATGGCAAGCATCTGGCGAGTGCCGGTGAGGACTGTGTCATTCATGTGTGGCAGGTTGGGGAATCGGAGGGGAAAGGTGACTTGTCGATCGATAAACAGGAGGAGGGGAATTTGAATTTTTCATATCTGGCCAATGTGTCACCAGAACCAACTTCAGTGTCGCCAAACTTGGATGGGCATCCAGAGAAGAAGAGAAGAGGAAGGTCATCTACAAGCCGGAAATCAGTGAGCTTGGACCTCGTGGTGGTACCAGAGACTGTGTTTGCACTTTCGGAAAAACCTATTTGTTCATTCGAAGGACATCTTGATGTCGTGCTTGACCTCTCCTGGTCCAAGTCTCAGGTTAGTTAGGATTCTGTTATTTGGCTTAGTAGCTATATTCTTTTCTGGTAAAATGTTGTATCGTATAATGATTATGTTGACTCAACCACTCAATTACGTTGTTGCTTTCAGTTGCTTTTAAGTATGTGAGTTTGTGCAAAAAGTTAAGTTGTAAATATCTTGTTGGCATATCACATGAGTGATGAATCCAGGCTGATGGCACACTTTTTAATCAGACCTTTCTAGAGCCTTGTAGAGCAGGAAACCTATTTTTCTCTCTGTGTTTCTCAGTTGAGACATTTGCAGAGGTACATTTGGTATCTAGTGTATGGGGTGTGAATGAGACCTATATAGATCTTTATGTTCTCGTGTGGCTTAGGGTACTACACCACTTCATATTTTTTAAATTCTTTTGATAAGTAAGTAATTCACCAGAGGTGCACTCAAACCATGGGACATATGATAAATCTTCCTCAAGAAATCTACAAAAACTTGCCCTCTATGGATAAGTAATAATTATCTGATATTGATACTACTGAGAGTTTGTTCTCGCCACTAGAAAATGATGGAATGCCGTGAGTGAGAGATGGGTTGTCACGTGTTATTTCCTGAGATGGATGGGAGTGATAGATGATGAACCATGTTGGTAGCAAGTTCAATTGTGCTACCATATCATGCATCTTTGAAGTAGTGTTTGGTCATAAGCCATTTTGTGGTTGCTTGTATGCTGGCAATTTCTCGTAATCAAATCCTACCATGGACAACCAAATAGAGACTTGCCATACTAGAAGTTCAGACTTTGGAACTGAGTCAGTAGAGAATGACATTGAAGGCATCGTGAGTTAGGGTGAAGAATTTGTAGGTGTGGAGTTCTAACAAGTGTCATGCAAATAATTTTTGAAGTGGTGTTCTAATGACCATAGTGCGGATGTTGTACAACATCACATGTGTTTGAAAGTGTATCAAAAAGTGAAGATTATCTCAAAGCTTTCTTTGTTTAGCATAGTGTTTCTGGTTTGGCTGAATTTAAGGTTATTTGTGAATGCTTTACGGATAAATTGTCTGCATCGCTTTGTGAACTATTTAGGCAATTGGGTGTTGGGAATAAACTTTACAGACACATGATGTTGCAGTCTTCAATAATTTTTTTGTGGTTTGAAACCCTAAGTATGTTGTCACTTGATATAATGGACTCCAGGTATGGAATATCAGGATCAACAAGAAAGAATGAGTAACACAATAAATTTAAAAGATTTAGTTGGTGGGTCATTCATTGTTTGAGATTGCTTTCTTGTGTCTTGATGATTAGACGGTGGTGTTTTGGAATCCTGAAGATACCATGACTAGTGGATGAAGCCTCATTTTTGCACCTTAATGTTTCCTTCCTATCTTTGCATGACATGCTAGTATTGTACTGTATGGTACTCAGATAGCATTTATTCATCCCTTTCTCCTTCATGTTCTCTGCTCTTTTTTGAATGACTAACAGAAAACTTATTTTCTGTTTTTGGAAATAATACTGCCTTCAGTACTTGATTATTTATTAGTGGTCGGTGGTCACAATCTCGAGGGAAGCTTCATGATTTATCATGGCTTATATCTATATAATAAAACACATAGTAACTTGAATTTTTATCTCCTACATATTTTCCCTCCTAAAAACATCACATCACTCATTTCCATCACATGTTTAATCCTTTATATATTTCTCCCCTAAAAACATCACATCACTCATTTCTATCATATATTTAATTATTTAATATTTAATTAATTTGTAGTTAATATAATTTTTATTTCAAACATTATTCATATACGATAATATACACATGTTGAAAAAATTTAATATAGTGGAATCGAACTAAGGAATTAAGGAACTAAGGAATTTAGCCATTTGTAGGATCTGACAATTAAGATTCTTTGAATTATTTATTAGGACTTCTTATTTACAGAAGCTGTCATTTTCAGCTTTTGCTCTCATCTTCAATGGACAAAACGGTGCGGCTCTGGCACTTGTCTAGAAAGTCTTGTTTGAAGATTTTTTCACACAGTGATTATGGTAAGCAATCGACTTTTTGTCAGCACTAATTGCAGTTGTTACAGAAGCTGTGAACTTTGAAACCTCTTCTTTTGTGTGGGCAGCACACTCCTTTAAAGTAATGCATAAATAGCTAAATACTGTTGTTCCTGTATATAATTTTTTTGGTCCCTCATCAAGAGGTTTCTTTCCTAAAAAATAGGGGTTTTTAAATCAGCGAATGAAGGTCTTTTTGAATTGCTCTTGTTGGTAGCCAATTACATTCTTGTTTTCTGGATTTGCCATGGCAGTAACTTGCATCCAGTTCAATCCTGTTGATGATAGATATTTCATAAGTGGATCAGTAGATGCTAAGGTTCGCATCTGGAGTATTCCTGATCGTCAAGTTGTTGATTGGAATGATCTGCATGAGATGGTCACTGCTGCTTGCTACACACCAGATGGTCAGGTTGGGACATACTTAATTGTAGCTCTCATATAATAATTTTGGGTTGCCCCAGCACTCATAAAGAGAAGAAAATTTTGTTGCCCCAGAGAGAAGGGGAAGAGATGCTGTTATTCTGCTATGTTAAAGTTTCAATTGTACGTCTAAGGAATTTTTGTTGATTTCTGAAGGGCGCACTTGTTGGTTCATACAAGGGGACCTGCCGGTTGTACAATACATCCGGTATGGTTGCTCTCTCTATCTCTCTCTCTCTCTCTCTACGTTGGCATGTTTCTTGCTTTGCTCACTAAGTATTTACCTACATCTTCTTTTTCCAGATAATAAGTTGCAACAGAAAGATCAAATCAATCTGCAGAACAAGAGAAAAANCGAACTAAGGAATTAAGGAACTAAGGAATTTAGCCATTTGTAGGATCTGACAATTAAGATTCTTTGAATTATTTATTAGGACTTCTTATTTACAGAAGCTGTCATTTTCAGCTTTTGCTCTCATCTTCAATGGACAAAACGGTGCGGCTCTGGCACTTGTCTAGAAAGTCTTGTTTGAAGATTTTTTCACACAGTGATTATGGTAAGCAATCGACTTTTTGTCAGCACTAATTGCAGTTGTTACAGAAGCTGTGAACTTTGAAACCTCTTCTTTTGTGTGGGCAGCACACTCCTTTAAAGTAATGCATAAATAGCTAAATACTGTTGTTCCTGTATATAATTTTTTTGGTCCCTCATCAAGAGGTTTCTTTCCTAAAAAATAGGGGTTTTTAAATCAGCGAATGAAGGTCTTTTTGAATTGCTCTTGTTGGTAGCCAATTACATTCTTGTTTTCTGGATTTGCCATGGCAGTAACTTGCATCCAGTTCAATCCTGTTGATGATAGATATTTCATAAGTGGATCAGTAGATGCTAAGGTTCGCATCTGGAGTATTCCTGATCGTCAAGTTGTTGATTGGAATGATCTGCATGAGATGGTCACTGCTGCTTGCTACACACCAGATGGTCAGGTTGGGACATACTTAATTGTAGCTCTCATATAATAATTTTGGGTTGCCCCAGCACTCATAAAGAGAAGAAAATTTTGTTGCCCCAGAGAGAAGGGGAAGAGATGCTGTTATTCTGCTATGTTAAAGTTTCAATTGTACGTCTAAGGAATTTTTGTTGATTTCTGAAGGGCGCACTTGTTGGTTCATACAAGGGGACCTGCCGGTTGTACAATACATCCGGTATGGTTGCTCTCTCTATCTCTCTCTCTCTCTCTCTACGTTGGCATGTTTCTTGCTTTGCTCACTAAGTATTTACCTACATCTTCTTTTTCCAGATAATAAGTTGCAACAGAAAGATCAAATCAATCTGCAGAACAAGAGAAAAAAAGCTCATCAGAAGAAAATTACTGGGTTCCAGGTAATCAATTGGTCCTTTCCATTGTGTAGCTTTATGAAAAAGAAAGGGCACATCATCCCTTTCCTTCGCAGAGGTTGTTATTTAGCTTTTTTCCTTGGCTGGTCTGTTGTCTGTTCACCTTTTTGCTACAATGGTGTTCGCCTCTTGCTCTATTTGTTGCTGAGTGGTTTTCATTGAACAGTTTGTGCCTGGAAGTGCATCAGAAGTGCTTATTACATCTGCAGATTCACGAATTCGGGTTATTGATGATGTTGATCTGTTTCACAAGTTCAAAGGTACGCACCAACAAAATTTTGTATTTTCTTTAGTTGAAGAATGTGCGATAGAAATTTTAAATGTTGAAACTTGATTTAGTTAACTAAATTTGTTTTGTTGGATCATTACTTATGGATCGAATGGGTCCTGGGGGTGGACTGGGTGCAAACATGTCTTTTAGTATTATTTGCACAAAATGGCTACCTCATTTTCGACACACAATCTTATGGTTGTCAGCATGCCACTTTTACCATTGCACTAGACAACTACCCTTGATTAATTAGATCAAGCTTTTCACTATTTTCATGGTGACTGGATTTTGATTTTGTTACAGGGTTCCGCAACACTAACAGCCAAATCTCAGCTTCCGTTACTGCGAATGGAAAATACGTGATCTGTGCCAGCGAGGATTCTCAGGTCTATATCTGGAAGCATGAAGGTGATTCCCGACACAGTAGAAGCAAAGGTGTAACTGTGACACAGTCTTATGAACAGTTCCACTGTCAAGATGTATCAGTGGCCATCCCCTGGCCTGGCATGTGTGACACATGGGGATTACAAGATTCTTGTTCTAGAGAACCAAATGGGCTTGCCGATCATTTGGATGAGGTCTCTACGACAAATCATCCTCCTACACCGGCCGAAGAAACTGATTGTAATGAGAGTTCACACTTGGCATCTTGGTGCACCAGTAGTCCCCTAAATGGGACCATCTCCAATGCAACAAATAGTTACTTCTTTGATAGGATCTCAGCAACATGGCCTGAGGAGAAACTTCTTCTAGCAACCAAGAATCATAGTCCTCGTGCCAGTGTGGATTTCTCCAATGGTGTGCACCAGAGTAGGTCAGCCTGGGGTATAGTGATCGTTACTGCTGACCTTAGAGGGAAAATCAGAACTTTTCAAAATTTTGGATTGTCGGTTCGGATTTAGGGGACACCTAAAAAACTTGCAAGACCCACAAGCAGCTTCAAGTGCTACATAACATTGGCACTCCCAAGTTGGTAAAATTTGTACAGAGATATGTGGTGAGATTTGTTATATGCGGCAGTTTCATCTCTTTTTCCTTTTTCTTTTGTGCTTGTACCCATTTGGTTTGGGACAGAGATGATGAGCTCATCTGACTAGGCACTCACAAAATGAATAGATTTGTCAGTAAAGAAAAAAAATACACCGTGAATTTGGAAACCCATGGTTTTATGTCATCAGGAATTGTGGAGTTATGAACATGGCAAAAGCTTATTGAATTTAACAGAATTCTTTAACAATTCTTTTGGTGTTATTCTTTATGTGTATTTGTAGATTGGGTGTGGAGCCAGGTATGAATGAAATTTCAAGACAGTATGGAAAGTTAATTGATCATTTTTGCAAAACTTGTACATTCTTTACTAATCTGCTGTCCTGTGTGGTGGTACTGTCTCATGGATTTGGTCAGGTATATAAAATTCTTCAATTGTCTTTGGTGTATCTCTTCAGTGGCAAGTCTGCATCTTTCTTCATTTTTTTTCAAACCTTGTGGAAGAAGGGAGGAATTTATGGTAGCTTCTTCATGTAATGTTACTATGGCTTCTGGAAGTAGTTGAACAAAATAGAATCTGTGTGTGACCTCTGTAGGGCTTTATAAGTTGGAAGACCAACTTAATCAAGACAAGAAAATTTTTGAGACACCTTGGTTGGCCAATGCACGTGGTTTACGAGTGATCATGTGGATCCTAAGTTTCCATAATTATTATAATTTTACGAGTGCATGATTGGGATGGTTCATGGTCATAAAGATGCCATTCATTTCTAAGTTTATTCCGTTTATTCTAGCCTCTTTTTGGTTTTTCTTTTAAGTGGATTTCTTGTCCACCATATTGTACTCGTTTCATTATTTAATGAAAATTGTGTTTCATATAAAAAATAAAAATAAATAAAGAAGTCATTTATTACCATCACCATCGTGCCATATGGAATTTGCTGAAGGTGTGTTGTTGCAACAATACTAAGTTTATTAAAATCTATGTCATATTAACTTTTATTGATCATTCAATAAGTATTAATATTTCACATCATTTGATTCAAAAATTATTTGTAAAAAAAAAATTATATCAAAAAATTGTTCTGCTCAAACACAATCCCCCCATCACAGGTTAGACTAGAGCCAAATCCAAGCTAGCANAATTATATCAAAAAATTGTTCTGTGCTCAAACACAATCCCCCCATCACAGGTTAGACTAGAGCCAAATCCAAGCTAGCAGAGTCTGTAGTTGTGGCCTATCCACCCAGTATCCGCTACCCCTCTTCTAATTTTCCATGCCCAAGCCCATGACTCTTATCAGTGACACGCTTTGGGAAGTGAACCTTGATGGTATATATCCCTTCCTGGACCCACAGCCCACTCCAACTCTTTTGGCATTTTATTTAATAAGTGAAAATATCACTGGATATCCAAATCTCAATTCCTGATTGGTTGCTTGGAATTGAAATGGCAGATACTTCTGCAAATAATTATCTTATCCTCTCTGCCTTTCATATCCAAGAATCAGACCCCCAATTTCGTCACCAAACAGGCCCCTTCCCAATATATATATCCATCAACATATGTACCTGTCAAATACTCATATTTTACACTTCTGAAGTTCTTTGGTACTGTTTGGACTCATCCAGTAAATACTCTGAATAGGCTTTCATGGCTCTCCAGGCTGCTGCTTTGTTTCCCTCTGCTTTTGCAATCCCCAAAGAGGTTTGTTTTCCTATTGGTCTGTTTGGAAGCTCTGTTGTTGTTTTTTTTCCAAGTACTGTCACAAAATATCATGGAAGTGATTGTTTGGGATAATTCAATGCTTGCAGGGGAGGAACAGCGCATCATTGAAAGACTCCAGTCTACTTGGAGTTTCACTTTCAGACCACATTAAAGCTGACTTCAGCTCTTCTGCATTAAGGATCAGGGTACCAAACTGCTTCACTTCATTTGTTCTATTCTGTTGTTAAGAGTAATAATACTTTCTTTCCTCCATATGTCCATGGATGGTGTCCTGTTTTTGAGTTATATTGTCTCAATTTTTTGTTCAATCCACACCCAACTCATGCATAGTCATGTATAGTTTGTTCGGGTTTAGTTGGGTTCGTGATAACTCATTCACTTAATAGTTTTGTTTGGTCAACCCATATACCCAAACACCTGTTAAGCCTAGCCTTAACCACCTGAATTTAAGCTACCAAACACTGGAATGTTAGTTGCAGTGTAACATTTAAGATGTAGAGTATAAACATTTGACTGTAGATATGAAAGATGTGCTTAATTAATGTCTTCTTCATGGGGATTGGGTTCTTACAGAGGGAATTCAGCCAAAGAAAACAACATTTTGCAGTAGTAAGGGGCCAGGTGGTAACAGCAGCTCCAGCAGTTAACCAGGCCACGCCCGGAGGGAAGAAAACCATAAGAAAGGGCAGTGTTGTGATCACTGGAGCCTCTTCTGGGTTGGGGCTGGCCACAGCTAAGGCATTGGCTGAAACAGGCAAATGGCACATAATCATGGCCTGCAGGGACTTCCTCAAGACCGAAAGAGCTGCCAAGGCGGCCGGCATTGCCAAGGAAAACTACACAGTAATGCATTTAGACCTTGCCTCACTTGACAGTGTCCGGCAGTTTGTTGATAACTTCAGGCGATCGGATCGGCCGCTTGATGTTCTGGTCTGCAATGCAGCTGTCTACTTACCAACTGCCAGGGAGCCTACATTTACAGCTGAGGGATTTGAGCTCAGTGTTGGGACTAACCATCTTGGGCACTTCCTCCTGTCAAGGTTGCTACTTGATGACTTGAACCAATCTGATTACCCTTCAAAACGACTCATAATTGTCGGATCCATTACAGGTACTAAGATTAATTGTCACTCTACCAATTCTCTAATAAGCTATTAGGTGTTGAGCTGTGCAACCAGTTCACTGACCAAGTTGTTATTCAATTTCACTGCACTCAGACAAATCCCGGCCTGTTTAATTTGTATCTCAAAAAATAGTATCTAAAAACTATTTTTGGAAAAAGTTTTAGAAAAAAAAAANTGGGTGTTGAGCTGTGCAACCAGTTCACTGACCAAGTTGTTATTCAATTTCACTGCACTCAGACAAATCCCGGCCTTTTTAATTTGCATCTCAAAAAATAGTATCTAAAAACTATTTTTGGAAAAAGTTTTAGAAAAAAAAAAAATTTGTGTCGCAGAAGTTGTTTAGTTATATAATTTCAAAAACAGTTCAACGGAATAAAAAACAGTAAAATTTGTTTGGACAATAACCCAGAAAATAATGAAAACAAAAATGTGATGGTGGTGGTGGAAGGGTGGTGTTTTCTAAATTCTAGAAAGTTTGTGTCAAAAAATNAATTTGTTTGGACAATAACCCAGAAAATAATGAAAACAAAAATGTGGTGGTGGTGGTGGAAGGGTGGTGTTTTCTAAATTCTAGAAAGTTTGTGTCAAAAAATACACGAAACAACTCTAACTTGTTCTCTAAATTTACCAAAAACAAAAGCAAAAAATAACTGGCCAAATAGTTTTTCTCCCAAAAACAAAAAATAATTTCTGAGATGCAAACCAAACAGGGCATTTTTCCTTTTCATGGACTTTTTTTCCCAAATTCAATGCATAAATCAACAAACTCGTATCCCAATTATAGGAATTTGATGTAATCGCTATTGTGTTCTGTCAAAAACCATATTTTCTATTGAACCTGATGTTATCATATCTTTTTTGCTATCTCATACCAAATTAAGTTAATTTTCTATTAAAACCCCATCTGTTACTGTTACTGTTACTGATACTATAGGTTGTGTTGTTGCTTTTAATATATCTCAGGGAACACCAATACCTTGGCTGGGAATGTACCTCCAAANGATACTATAGTTTGTGTTGCTGCTTTTAATATATCTCAGGGAACACCAATACCTTGGCTGGGAATGTACCTCCAAAGGCGAACCTTGGGGATTTGAGAGGCCTTTCAGGGGGTCTGAATGGACTGAACAGCTCAGCCATGATTGATGGTGGGGACTTTGATGGTGCTAAGGCATACAAGGACAGCAAGGTCTGTAACATGCTCACCATGCAAGAGTTCCATCGTCGGTACCATGAGGACACTGGCATCACATTTGCTTCCCTTTATCCTGGTTGCATTGCCACAACAGGCTTGTTTAGATACCACGTCCCTTTGTTCAGGACTCTATTCCCTCCGTTCCAGAAGTACATCACAAAGGGCTTTGTCTCTGAGGATGAATCCGGAAAGCGACTTGCACAGGTAAATATAAAGGGTAACTAATGCACAAGTCTCTTGTTATTACGGGATTTGCATAGGGTTAAATGCATAGGTGGAGCTATGTATGCTTCAGGGTGGGCAAGTGCCCCCCTCAAATTTTTTTTTTTATTTTTTATTACCCAGATATACATATTATATATTTATATAATATATCATTTGTGCTCACCTAAAACTAAAAACAAAAATGCTAGGCCCACCAACTCTACCTAAAAAAAATTAAAAAATCAAGTCCATATAAAACAAAAGGAACTCTGGGACTATGTTGTTGAAATCTGAGTATTGTAGAAAAAATTAAAACTTAATNCATCAAAAATTTTTTTTTATTTTTTATTACCCAAATATACATATTATATATTTATATAATATATCATTTGTGTCCACCTAAAACTAAAAACAAAAATGCTAGGCCCACCAACTCCACCTAAAAAAAATTAAAAAACCAAGTCCACATAAAACAAAAGAAACTCTGGGACTATGTTGTTGAAATCTGAGTATTGTAGAAAAAATTAAAACTTAATCATGTTAATTGCGACTCAAATAGATCGATTTGCAATTCAATAAAATTGAGTTAGGATTGATCCCCAAAACTTATGATGAATTTCAAATTGTTAAAATTTGGTATCGATCTAACTTTTTAACCGATTGAGTTGTCAGTTGATCATGGTATATCATATCTTTTCAGTTTTTTATGGATATGATATGAAATTTTAGATTTTTCTGCAATACTTGTAGTCATATAGATATTGTTGAGCAGTATTGTAAAGACAAATAGAACAATGAGAGAAGTTTTTTATTTNTAGTATCGATCTAACTTTTTAACCGATTGAGTTGTCAGTTGATCATGGTATATCATATTTTTTTAGTTTTTTATGAATATGGTATGAAATTTTAGATTTTTCTACAATACTTGTAGTCATATAGATATTGTTGAGCAGTATTGTAAAGACAAATAGAACAATGAGAGAAGTTTTTTATTTTATTAAGTCTTTTTCTAGATGATCTTAATTTTATTATTTATGAATTTTTACAAGTAAAAGTTCTTACAATTGACCTTCATTTAACTTTTTTTTTTAAACAAGAAATTGCCACTATTTTTATTAAAGTATTGATTATAGCTTTTGCAATGTGTGAATCGATTTTAAATTTTTTTTTACTATGTTTAGCTCTTAAATTTTAGTTTAATAATTTTACTATGTTAATATATTAGTGTGTTTGGAACATCATTTATTGAATACATTTAATGGATTGTTAGTAAATAATTGATNTAAAACAAGAAATTGCCACTATTTTTATTAAAGTATTGATTATAGCTTTTGCAATGTGTGAATCGATTTTAAAATTTTTTTTACTATGTTTAGCTCTTAAATTTTAGTTTAATAATTTTACTATGTTAATATATTAGTGTGTTTGGAACATCATTTATTGAATACATTTAATGGATTGTTAGTAAATAATTGATATTTTTTAATACAAAAATAACAATTAGCTCCATTTTTTACGATGGTGATAATTAGTCATTTTTTGTACATATATAATATGAATTATTTGTTGGCATTTTTTTATGTTAAATGAAATTCATATATCAAATGTGATAAAATAAATATAAATATATTATATAGCCTAATTGGTTAGGAAGAACAAGATTAGAGAGCGCAATATAAGTGTCCACTCTGAGCACTCAGCACCTGATTAGATGTACGCAATCTTACCTCGNTTTATTATATAGCCTAATTGGTTAGGAAGAACAAGATTAGAGTGCGCAAAATAAGTGTCCACTCTGAGCACTCAGCACCTGATTAGATGTACGCAATCTTACCTCGGTAAACAGAGAGACTTGCATTATCTCTCATCAATCCTTTGAGTGAAATTTAGCAAAAGGAAAGAAAATCTAGGAACTGATCCCATCATTTCCTGCCCTTAGTAACTGCAAGATCACCCAAGGACGCCTTTGGCATCCAGTGGTTTAACGGACTGACCATAGATGATAGAACTATGTTCAATAAGTGGGAGGCATTAGTTGTCTACTCTTAGGTTGGTCAGTAAGGGTCGGAGAAGAGTAGTCACACGCTCTTAAACTCACAGTAACCAAACGAATCAGTAAAATACATAAGAGAGATTAACATGATAATATCACAAATTCAAGAAAATAACAGTTTGTTTGTTTTGATGTAGGTTGTGAGTGATCCAAGCTTGACAAAGTCAGGTGTGTACTGGAGCTGGAACAAGGACTCTGCATCATTTGAGAACCAAATGTCTCAAGAAGCTAGTGATGCAGAGAAGGCCAGGAAAGTGTGGGAAGTCAGTGAAAAACTGGTTGGTTTGGCCTAAATTGAATCCTTGAGGTTCTTCTTGTCAACTACTCTTTGTGTTTAGGAGAGGAAGATCTGGGGTTCATTGTGAGTGGAGTGTTTGGATTCAGATGTTTGAGTAGTTGTAAGCAATTTTCTCTTGTAAAATCAGGTGACTTTTGAGCTAGACTTGACAATAAAATTACTCACAACATTTCTCAAATGACAATTATGTGGTAGTTTCAAGAAGTAAGCATAATCAGGGAGCCTAGTCCCAGGTGGTTCAATCATGCACAGAAAGGGATAAGCCATTGCTCCATGGCCTTCAAACAATGAAAGACTTGACTAGGGTATCCAATTCCATACTTCCAAATTTTATTACTTTTCGGAATACTTTTATAACTTTTGTGGAGTATTTTTACAACAACAAAATTTACCACGTTTGTGGGTAAACAAAAAAAAACTTAACATTTTTGTGGGTGATTTATCACTTTTATGTGTGTTTTTACCACTGTTGTGAGTGTTTTTATCACTAATATAATAACTATTTTTACCACTTTTCTTCTGTACCGCAAAAGAGATAAAAACATTCACAATAATAGTAAAAATACCCACAAATGTGATAAATATCAATACAATACCAAATTTTTTTTTCGGTACCAAATTTTTTTTTCGGTACCGTAGACAACTCTAACAATTAATAGATCACAGACTTATGGCCAATTTTAATTTGAAATCTCTGTATATTCTTACCCAAAAAGATAAAAGAGACATGGTAGAGTTGAGAAAAACAAGTTGATTATACATTTATCGTCATTTAAAAATAAATTTATTATCTTCCTATTGTTTTGAACTTATTTATCAAGGCTTTCACCCAAAAAAAAAAGTGACTGTTAAACATGCTTTCTATGACAGTAGATAAAATAATAATGGTCAAACCTAAATAAAAGCATCATGAACAAACTTGGCAATAAAGCTTTATCAATAAACCCGTTTTTATTAAGAAAAACGTGATCAATAAACACGTTTTTTTATAAGGCAGCGCTATCAACAAACACTGAAAAAAAAAAATGGTGTTTTGTCAAAAACGCTTTTTCTACTTTCAAAAGCTACAAAGAAGTTTGATATATAAAAAAAAAAAAACTGATGATGCACAAAAATGGTTTTACACACCACCTGTCAAGTGTAGGTAATAAATGCAGTGAAATCAGTGAGAAAATTAAAGAAGACACGATTTATAGTGGTTCGGTCAATT